ATTGGATGGCTAGTCCCCCGCCACCCCTTTTGGTTAAGCCAAAAATTAAAAAAGGAAAGGAGTGTGAATATTGTGGCCGAAAAAAAGGCAAAAACTATGGGCAGGTACCTCGCTATAATTTCTAGTTGCTGTCATTGCTAGTGATATCTGGAACAACAGTTTTAAATTAGGTTTCAATTCTCGAATTGCAACATTTTGTGAACATGCCCTATTCTGGAACCCCAAAGTACTAGCCACCCCCTTGACAAATCCTGGATCTGCCCCTGATAATAATGTCCTAAGACAATGAAACGGCGGCCGTGTTGGTGTACCAAACCAATCCTTTGGGAGTTGAACTCTTTTCTTAGGTAAACATTTTCTCTTATTAATTCCAATAACTTTGCATGGCTACTGGCCAAGTCTAGGAGGGTTATCCTAGAATCATGAAATTCTAAGTTTTGTTCCTTGTGAAATCATTTCAGGCAGAGCTTCACCTACCTTTTGCTCGGTCACAGATATTTTAGCGTATGCTGGATCTACTTTAGTAGCGTTTTCTTCTATCTTGTAGTGACAAAGAGAAAGATTGGCTCCAGGCCCCGGTGATCCTCGAGGTCCCGAAGGTCCAGGACTACCGACAGGGCCCTGGGTGCCATTATAGCCAGGAGGTCCCCTCGGAGGGACCGTTTTACTCATATTTATCACCTGTGAGGAAAAACATACACACGTTTGTTTGTTTGTTTATTTGAAGTTTTTTTTTTTTGGATTAAACGAGACGGAAACAATATTTTCGAAATNCGGAAGTTGGTAATTTGCATATTTCTTTGAAATAAAAGGATATTTTGCCAAAAAAAACTATCCAGTAGTTTTTGTTATGCCCTAGCCTATCTACCATGAAAATATGAGCGAAATCGAATTTTCGACCCTTGCCCAATTATCTCCCATTTTTATGGACAGGGACTCTTAAATACATCAATATTTAATACGCTTAAAGAGTGTGTTCACATGACGACGTACGGCAGCCATCATCAGGGGAGGATTTTCATTTTTTTGCGGGAAGGTAGATTGGGTGGCTAGCCAACCCCCGCTCGGTGATGCAAAAAAATAAAAAAGTGAAGGATTGTGAATCAGTTTGGGCAGAAATAAAAGCAAGAACTCTGGGCAGGTACCTCACTATAATTTCTAGTTGCTGTCATTGTTAGCGATTTCTGGTAAAACAGTTTTAAATTAGGTTTCAATTCTCAGATTGCAACATTTTGCGAACATGCCCTATTCTGGAACCCCAAAGTACTAGCCACCTCCCTTGAAAAATCCTGGATCCGCCCCTGATAATAGTGTCCCAAAAACAATGAAAAGGTGGCCATGTTGGTGTACCAAAAAAATCCTGTGGGAGTTGAACTCTTTTCTTATGCAAATACTTGCTTCTGTTCTAATAAATTTGCATGGGTGCTGGCCAAGTCTAGAAGAGTTGTCCTAGAACTATGAAATTCTAAGTTTTGTTCCTTGTTAAATCGTTTCCCCCTATTCTAAATACGGAGGCAGGGCTTAACCTACCTTTTGCTCTGTCACAGATACTTCAGTTCTCGCGTAAAAATCAGGTGTTACTGGAGCGCTTTCAATCTTCTGGTAACGACAAAGAGAAAGATTGGCTCCAGGCCCTGGTGATCCTCGAGGTCCCGAAGGTCCAGGACTACCGACAGGGCCCTGGGTGCCATTATAGCCAGGAGGTCCTCTTGGAGGAACGATTTTACTCATATTTATCACCTGTGAGGGAAAAAAAATACACATGTTTGTTTGTTTATTTGGATTTTTTTTATTAAACGATGGGTTGCAAAGACACAAGGTGTGATTAAACGATACGGAAACAAAACTTCGAAACGCTTGGCTTTTATTGACCCTTTCAGCTTCAGGGTCTTTCACACAACAAAAAATGGGGGTGTCTCTCCAAATATTGGAGAGCATAATATAGCAACCAAATTTTTAATTAGGCTTCGATTTTGATTGATTCATAATCAGCCATGGTTGATTCGATCCTCTACCGAGTTCAGAACAGTCTTTGCAAATCTACTTGCGTTTTCTATTTTAGAAATCTAATAGAGCTTATTGAAATTATATATTTTTTGTTGCTGTTGTAATTGTTGTTTTATTTAATTAATTATTTATGTTTTTTTGGACGGGCTGCGCTATATTCGGCATTTAAACAAAATGCACGGTGATCGAGTCGACTTTTCTCGATTTTGTAAAGAAATCAATCTTTAAATACGCTTTCAAGAAGAGGACGTTGATGGGAGAAATAGGTTGTTACACAATATTCGGGGAACAATTAAGGAAATTTTACACCCGGTTCTCTCTCTCTCTTTCTGAGCCCCTTTCATAGGGCCTTGTAAGATTATGTACCTGATCTTTTACGTCCCAGAGGTCTTTATCAGTGGATATCAATTTGCGCCACAAATCTAAGAAAACCTCCTCCCTCACAGACGTTGAGTTTAGGTTAGCTANCGAGACGGAAACAATATTTTCGAAATACATGGCTTTTATTGACCCTTGCATCGTAAGAGTCGTTCAAAGAACCATAATATGGCGGTACCTTTCAAAATACATACATATATTTTAATTAGTCTTCGATTTTTATTGATTCATAATCAGTCATGGCTGATTCGATTCTCTACCGAGTTCAGGACAGTCTTTGCAAATCTGCGTGCGTTTTCTATTTTAGAAATCTAATAGAGCGTATCGGAAATTATATATTTTTTGTTGCTGTTGTAATTGTTGTTTTATTTATGTTTTTTGGACCAGGTGCGCTATATTAGTCGTTTAGACAAAACATACAGTGATCTATTCGTCTTTTCTCGATTTTGTAAAGAAATCAATCATTAAATATGTTTTCAAGAAGGTGACGTTGATGGGAGAAAAGGGCCATCACACAACATTCGGGGAACAATGAAATTTTACACCCAGTGCTCAGCTCTCTTTCTGAGCCCGTTCCATAAGGCTTCGTAAGATTATGTACCTGATCTTTTACGTCCCGTAGGTCATTTTCAGTGGAATTTAATTTGCGCCATAACTCTAAGAAAACGTCCTTCTTCAAAGACGTTGAATTTAGGGTAGTTATGGCTTGCTTCTGCAAAAAAAAAAAAAAAAAAAAAATGAGAAAAGGGAACAAAACTATAATTAACAAAAATCATTTCAAGTTTCCATTAAAATATCTGGTCATAAACATGTTCACCTTTCAAGTTCTGGATTTTGACAGAAAAAAAAAAGACTTTCTGTGTTCTAGAGATGTAAATTTCTGTTCATTATCTGATCGAGAGATTGTTGCCAAACGCTTGGTTACTTCATTCTATCTTTCATATTTACATTTTCTGTTATTAGCTGGCCTTTTATTCGCTTTGGGAAGTGAACAATTTTAG